GCCAACCCTCGCGGCCCCGTCGCCGCCCTTAGCGGCCCCGTCGCCGCCCTTCGCGGCCCAGTCGCCGCCCTTAGCGGCCCCGTCGCCGCACCTCACGGCCTCGTCGCCGCCACAAGCGGCCCCGTCGCCGCCCTTAGCGGCCCCGTCGCCGCCCTTCGCGCCCCCCCCCCTCGCCGCCCCAAGCGACCCCTGTCGCCGCCCTTAGCGGCCCCTGTCGCCGCCCTGAGCGGCCCCGTCGCCGCCCTTCTCGGCCTTGTTGCGGCCTCTTCGCCGCCCCGTCGCCGCCCTTTCGCGGCCTCCTCTCGGCCCCTTAACGGCCCCTCTCCGACCCCAGCAGCAGCACCGGCCACTTCTGTCGTGCAGCCGCCGCGGCTGCCGACTGTAGCCACCGCCGCCGCCGTCGCCACCGCCGCTGCCGCCCCGGCCCTGCCGCCGCCGCAGCCGCCGCCGTCGAGCCGCAGCCGTCGCCGCCGTCAAGCAGCCGCCGCTGCAGCCGAGCCGCTGCCGTCGTGCCGCTGCCGCAGTCGAGCCGCCGCCGCCGTCGTGCAGCCGCCGTTGAGCCGCAGCCGCAGCTGCTGCCGCCGCCGCAGCCGAGGCACGCCGTTGCTGCAGTCGCGGCCCTGTCCCTGCCGGCGCGCCTCGGACCTACCCACCCGCCTGGTAAGAGCACTCCCGAGCAGAGCCTCTGCCACTACGCTGCACCTAGCCTACTGCTCTCACTGCTAGCCTACTGCTGTCATGGCTACCCCTAGTGTTCTTACCTTTGATGCTGAGGGTCGGGCTGTCAACTTTGAGGTCTGGGTCGATGATCTGCTGCTTTTCCTACAGTGCGATAGGACAGACGGTCTCTCCCTGTTTGACCCCACGTCTGGTGCCTCTCCTGCCCCTACTGCTGATGCGGACAGCACTGTTTGCTCACAGTGGGCCACACGCGATGCTGCTGTCCGTCTTGCTGTGCGCCGTCACTTACCGACCGCTGAGCGTGCGCTTTTTAGTCAGTACAAGAGTGCTAAGACCTTGTACGACGCTGTATTTGCACGCTACTCTTCCCCTGCCACTGCTGCACTTAGCCGCCTCATGCTGCCGTACCTGTTCCCTGACCTCGCCGCAAATACCACAGCCGCTAACCTCATTACGCACCTTCGCACTAGTGACACCCGCTACCGCGCTGCACTTCCTGTTGAGTTCTGCGCCAAGAACCCCCCACCCCATGTACATCACCCTCTACTACATAGTCACCCGGCTCCCTGACTCCCTTCGCTCGGTCAGGGACCACTTCCATTTTGTTTGCCCCACCACACTCACCGTTGACCTCCTCGAGGAGCGCCTCCTGGCAGCAGAGAAGAGTATAGTCGCTGTACGAGCCTCTCGTGGTGACCCTCGTACCCCCCTCTTTGAGGGGTGTTCCCCCTCCCCCCTCTTGCCCTCTGTTGCCTCTGCAGTTGCGGCCGACCTCGTTGGTCTTGAGTCGGTCGGCGCAGCGTCTGCCCCTAGCGGGAGACGCCGCACAGGCAAGGGCAAGGGGGGCAAGGGCGCTGGAGGAGCTGGCGGGGGTGGTGGAGGTGGCGGTGGAGGCGGCGAAGGGGGTGGGGGTGGTGGTGGGGGTGGTGGTGGGAGTGCGGGCGTCGGTGGCGGCTGTGGAGGCGGAGGAGGCGGCGGCGGTGGCGGTGGGAGCGGAGGAGCCGGCGGTGGCGACGGTGGTGGAGGTGTCGGCGGCGGCGGTGGCGCTGGTCGGGGTGGCTCTGCGCCGAGGGGCGGCTCCGGTGGTGGTCAACGCCAGCAGCAGTAGCGCGCTCGTGAGACCCTGTCCCCTCAGCAGCCTCGTGAGTGGTACGCTGCGCGTCAGCGGGGTGGGGGTGCTGGTCCCTGTACCTACGTCTTGCGTACCGACGACCACACTGGTGAGACGTGCGGTGGCCAGCACGCCACCTAGCGCTGCTTCGGCCGCTTGACAAATGCTTGGCGTCTCCACTTCCCTGGCGCCCCTGAGATCCCTCGCTGGGGCGAGCTACATAGGTCGGGGGTTGCTATCTTTGATCTAGACTTTGATGCTATTCTTGCTGCCATGTATGCTGTGTCTACTAGTGATGAGGGTGGCTGTTACTTGTGTGTCACGCCTGACCCGAGCATTGAGGCTGCTGCTCTAGGTGCTAGTGAGGCTGCTCCTCTAGGTGCTGGTGCGTCTGCTGCCACAGGTGCTGGTGGTGCGTCTGCTCTCTCAGGTACCACGTCGGCTCAGGCCTGTCACAACTTCACCCTTGACTCGGGTGCTTCCCGCTCCTTCTTTCAAGACCGCACCATGCTCACGCCACTTCCTCGGCCAGTGGCGGTCTCTCTGGCAGACCCCTCTTGGGATCCTGTCCTTGCTCACTTCTCCACTCTTACCGTGTCCGACGGCCCCTTCTGGCACCCTGTCAGGTCTGTACCTCCCCTCGTTCTCTACGAACTTGGTGAGTGGTGCTGACCTACCGGATGGAGGGGTTCACCAGTTCACTCCTGCGACTCAGAGAGTGACCCACTGTACGTGTGCTCGGACGGGCCGACACTTGGCCACGTTTACCCGTCAGCCGGGATCAAGCCTGTACACACTGACTACTGAGTCTCCTCCGGTCGCTGAGTCTGGTCAGGTAGCTGCGTCGGGTCAGGTGTTTACTGCCGCGTCCTGGTCTGGTCCTGAGTCTGCCCCCTGCTCGTGTTGTCTCCTGTCTCCCCAGACTCTCCTCTGGCACCACCGCCTTGGTCACCCCTCCCTGCCTCGTCTCCGAGGCATGGCCTCCCGTGTCCTTGTCTCTGGTCTCCCCCGGTCCCTCCCTCCCCTCCCTCCGGGGCCTGCCCCTACCTGCGTCCCCTGCGTCGAGGGGCGGCAGCGCGCCGCTCCTCACTCCTCCGAGTTTCCTCCGACAGAGGCTCCGCTGCAGACGCTTCACATAGACGTGTGGGGCCCAGCCCGCGTCCGTGGACAGGGTCACGAGCGTTAGTTCCTACTGGTGGTTGACGAATACTCGCGTTACACCACAGTCTTCCCCTTGCACAGCAAGGATGAGGACACTGGGGTGTTGATCGACTGGATCCGCGCAGCTCGTCTCCAGCTCAGAGAGAGTTTCGGCTCGGACTTTCCTGTTCTGCGTCTGCACTCCGACAGGGGCGGAGAGTTTTCCTCTGACCATCTGCGAGCCTTCTGTCGAGCACGAGGCATCCGCCAGATGTTCACGCTTCCGGACTCTCCACAGCAAAATGGGATCGCTGAGCGCCGCATTGGCATGGTCATGGATGTCGCTCGTACGTCCATGATCCATGCGGCTGCTCCCCATTTTCTGTGGCCGTTCGCGGTTCAGTACGCGGTGCATCAGCTCAACCTTCAGCCCAGGGTCTCCATGCCGGAGACCTCCCCTGCTCTGTAGTGGACGGGGAAGGTTGGCGATGCATCTGCGTTCCGTGTCTGGGGATCTCGGGCGTTTGTTCGCGACTTGTCTGCGGACAAGCTCTCCCCCCATGCTGTTCCCTGCGTCTTCCTTGGCTCCCCCCCTGATGCACCTGGTTGGCAGTTTTACCACCCCACCTCGCGCCGTGTTCTGTCCTCCCAGGACGTCACGTTTGACGAGTCGGTTCCCTACTACTGCTCTTCCCCTACCGCACTGCACCCCTCCCCCCGCCGTCGCTCTTCCTCGCCCCAGGTTCCCCCCCGGTAGACCCCCTTCCCCCTCAGGGTCCTGCCCCCTCAGGTGTGTCCCAGGTAGACGCAGTCGAGCCTGTCGAGGTAGCTGTTGACTCTGGTGCTGTTAGGGGTGCTGAGCATGTTGGTGCTGGGTCAGGGGGTGCTGAGCCTGGGGGTGCTGGGTCTGGGGGTGCTGAGCCTGGGGGTGCTGACTCTGGGGGTGCAGAGACTGAGGGTGCGGGGCCTAAGGGTGCTGGGCCTGCTCGTGTGGCGTCTGGCGATACTGGGCCTGGAGGTCCTTTGGGTGCTTCGTCCCGGCGGGAGCTACTCTCTCCGCAAGAGCTACGCGAGTGGTCTGCACGGCGCTGGAGCCGTGCTGCTGGAGCTGGAGGTGCTGCTGGAGTTGGAGGTTCTACTGCTGCTGAGGGTGCTGGTGCCACGGGTCCCGGAGGTGCTCGTACTGGAGGTACTGGAGCTGCTGGGCCTGCGGGTGCTCCTTGTGCTGGAGCTGGCGGTGCTGCTGGAGTCGGTGCTGCTGGAGGTACTGGAGCTGGAGCTGGAGGTGCTGGAGCTGGAGCTGCTGCGTCTTCTGGTGGTCCGGCTGGAGGTGGAGCTACTAGGGGTGTTGGCACTGGAGGTGCTGGTGCTTCTGGGGGTGCTGGTGTTGGCGCTGCTAGAGCTGGGGGTGCTACTGGAGCTGGTGCTGCCGTTGGGGGTGCTGGTGCTGTACCTGCTGCTTCTGGGGGAATTGCGCGGCTGCGGCCGTACTTCGTTCCGCTCCTTGAGCAGGTTCTTGGTCTTCCGCCCTCTACTGGTCCTGCTCCTCCCTTAGAGTGTCCACAGCCGGTCCTGTCTGAGTCACAGTTACAGCCCGCCTCCCCTCTGCCTGCTCCTTCTCCCTGGTCCTACACTGGTCTTACTGGAGGTCAACATGAACAAATTTGGGCCAACGGTTCAACTTTTGTCCAATGGGCTTATGACAGTCGACTCAGCAGTCACGTAGTCTCAAGATTCTTTGATCCTTGGACTCGAAACTCGAAGAACCAAAGCACTGAACCCTCTCCGTTCCCCTCCCCTTTAAAATCGTCCCTCGCAGGTTATCGACGTGAAGGAAGTGGTCATCACCTGTGTGATTGTGACCCCAGTCATTTCTAGAGGCTGTTGAACCCGAATCTTAAAGCCTAGCTCCCTTGCTTCCCGCCCTTGCAGGTTATTGAGGTGAAGGGGGTGGTTACCAGTGTGAGTCGAGACCTGGACAACATGCATGGGCTGGTGGAGGGCATGGTGAGTGGAAACGGGGGGGGTGCGGGGTCAGTGGTGCAGGGTTGGAACTTGGAGGTATGAAATGGCACGTGTAGCTTATCCTCGAGTTACCAGTGGGAGTCGAGACCTGGACAACATTCACGGGCTGGTGGAGGGCATGGTGAGTGGAATGTGGGGGCTGCGGGCGGGAATGGGGAGAAGGGGGCTGGGTTGGAGGTATGAAGTATCACGTGTAGCTTATCCTTGAGTCACGTGTAGCTTATCCTTGAGTCAAGTGTGCGAGTCAACAGACCTTGACAACATGCATGGGCTGGTGGAGTGGAGGGCATGGTGAGTGGGAGGCGGGGTTGTGATTGCAGTGGGAGTTTTGTGAAACTTCAAGGCGAAGTCGCTCACCCTCCTCACGCACATGCTCCTCCTCGATTCACGCGGTTTTTTTTCACGTCGTTGCAAAGATGTGTTTTGTGAAAAAAAAAAAAAAAAAAAACTAAATTTCGCGTCGTTCTTGCAGGGCATTGCCACCCGTGCGTGCTGTTGTTCTCATGTGTCTCTCTGTCACGTGTTGTCTGTGTGTGCCCTCTGCCATTCCATCCTCCCCCTCTGCATTTCTTCACAGGATACCAAGCTGGCCTAGCTCGAGCAGAAGCAGGACATTGCCACATTGCTGCGCTCATGTGTCTCTGTCTTGTGTCTTGTGTCTTAAGTTGTAATTCTCCTGCCTGCAACCCCGGGCCTGCAGGATACCAAGCTCGCATCGCTCGAGCAGAAGCAGGACATTGCCACACGGGGAGTGCTGCTGCTGTGCAGCTTTGTGAGCAGAGGGCTGCAGGGCAACCCTGGCAACCAGGAGCTGCTGAAGGTGAGGTGGGGGAGTTTTGGTGGATTATGGGGTCAAAGAGTGTGAGTAAGAACAGAGGCGGGCAGTAAGTGGTTTGCTGCTGTGCAGCTTCATGAGCAGAGGGCTGCAGGGCAACCCCGGCAATTAGGAGTTCCGGAAGGTGAGTAGCGGTGGGGTGGGGTTTGGAGGGGCTAATGGAGTGTGCGAGCAAGAGGACATCTCCACTGTGTGAGCAGAGGGCTGCAGGAGAGCCTTGGGAACCAGGAACTGCTGAAGGTGACAAGTGGTGGGAGGAGGGGGGAGGTATATTTGTGCGACTTTTGGGAATTTTCAAAAGTAGTGATACTTCTCAAAAGTCGTGAGAATTCTCAAAAGTCGTGAGAATTCTCAAAAGTCATGAGAATTCTCAAAAGTTGTGAGAATTCTCAAAAGTCGCACGAAGAGGGCTGCAGTAGAAACTTGGGAACCAGGAACTGCTGAAGGTGATAAGTGCTGGGAGGAGGGGGGAGGGGTTGGGCGGATGTGGTTCAGTGGGCGGTTGATGCGGTCCAGAGTGGTGAGCGGTCTATGTCTTTGCAGCTTGCGCTTCCTCTCTTTTTCCATCTACTCAAGTTTCCATATCCCAGGGCGTGGTGGACATGTCACTTGTGGTTGTGCTACAGATTGCCTTTTGAGGCGCCTCAAAAGTCGTGGCGGACATGTCACAGATGGCTGTGCTACAGATTGCCTTTTGAGGCGCCTCAAAAGTCGTGGCGGACATGTCTCTTGTGGCTGTGCTACAGATTGCCTTTTGAGGCGCCTCAAAAGTCGTGGCGGACATGTCACAGATGGCTGTGCTACAGATTGCCTTTTGAGGCGCCTCAAAAGTCGTGGCGGACATGTCACAGATGGCTGTGCTACAGATTGCCACGGGCAACAGATTGCCACAGGCAAGGGCATCACGCTCATCTGATCTCCCTTCTTCTCGTCTGGAGCCCATCTACTCTGCTCCCAATGCATCAAGGCCTGGCGCACATGCCGCAGATGGCTGTGCTGCAGAGTGCCACGGGCAAGGGCATCACGCTCCAGCTCTCTCCTGCCCTCCCTTGTGCTCCTGCCATCTGCTTTCCTCTCATTCTCTCAGGGCCGGGCGGACATGTCTCAAATGGCCGTGCCACAGGTCGCCACGGGCAAGGGTCCAGCTCATTCTCTTTTTCTGTCATCTCCCTTCCTTCCTCTCCCTTCCTCTCTGCCTTCCTCTCTGCCTTCCCATCTACTCTCAGGGCCTGGCGGACATGTCACAGATGGCCGTGCCTCAGCTTGCTGCGGGGAAGGGCGCGCCAGCAGGGGGGGCAGTGGGGCTATCAGGGCTGAAGGAGCTTGAATTCATCTCGTCTGCTTTGGAATCTTCCGTGCACCATACAGGTAAGGGTGCAGGTGGGAGTGGTGCTTCAGGGGAGGGGTAGGGGAGTAGGGGGGAGATGTGGGCAGTGGTGCTGTCGGGGCTCAAGGAGCTTGAGTTCCTCTCGTCTGCCTTCGAGTCCTCTCCTTGGTGCACCACTCAGGTGGGAAGTACTGATGTTACTGCTTGGAGGGGGGGGGGGTTGGGGGGTTCGGGAAGCAGTGGGGCTGTCTGGGCTCAAGGAGCTTGAGTTCCTCTCGTCTGCCCTCGAGTCCTCTCCTTGGTGCACCACTCAGGTGGGAAGTACTGATGTTACTGCTTGGAGGGGGGGGGGGATGGGGGGTTCGGGAAGCAGTGGGGCTGTCTGGGCTCAAGGAGCTTGAGTTCCTCTCGTCTGCCCTCGAGTCCTCTCCTTGGTGCACCACTCAGGTGGGAAGTACTGATGTTACTGCTTGGAGGGGGGGGGGATGGGGGGTTCGGGAAGCAGTGGGGCTGTCTGGGCTCAAGGAGCTTGAGTTTCTCCCAACTGCTCTCGAGTCCTCGGTGCACCTCTCAAGTGGGGGTGTGGGTGTGTTGCTGGTGAAATTGTTGGTAGTGGTGCTTCTGTGGGTGGGGCAGTGGGGCAGTGGGGCAGTGGGGCCATTTCTCTGTCGGGGCTGAAGAAGCTTGAGTTCATCTCGTCTGCCCTCGAATCGTCCGTGCACCACTCAGGTGGGGATTGGGGTGTGTGTTTGGGGCTGCTGCTGCCGCTGGTGGTGGTGTGGCTAGTGCTGCAGCAGGACGGGCAGTGGGGCTGTCGGGGCTGAAGGAGCATGAGTTGATTTCCTTGGCTTTGAAATCCTCCGTCCACCACTCAAGTATTCGTGGAGGTAGGGATGGTGCTTCTGGTGTGGTTGCTGGTCGTTGCGAGTGCCGGTGATACCAGCCAACCATGTCTCTTCACCCCTGTTGCCTGTATCTCTCCATTCTCTTCTTCTCCACCAATTCCTCCTCCCCCTCCTTGACCTCTGTTTACCTATCCCTCCATTCACTCCCACTCCGCCCATCCCTTCTCCCTTCCCATCTGTGCCACTGTTTCAGGGAACCTGCCTCTCGATCCTGCCTACACGTACCAACCCACTCGCCAAGCCTCCTACCAAGCCTCAACAGCAGGTTTGGAGCGGCAAACCTCTGCATCAGCAACGGCACCGGCCGCAGCAGGAATTGCATCCAGACACTCATTCGGAGCAGGAGGGGCGGCGGCAGCTGCAGCAGCCGCAGCAGCGATTGCAACAGTGTCAGGGAGATCTCGAGGGGACAGTGTATCTGGACTAGGGGTAGGGGTAGGAGGAGGAGGAGGAGCAGGAATGCATGGATTGGGGCCAGAGCGAGGGATGCACGGAGCAGCAGCAGCACATGGTTTGCATACGGCAGCACCTGCAGCAGCACAAGGTTTACATGCATCTGGAGCAACAGCAGAGGCGGCTGTGGTTCAGAGCGTGAGAGAGGCCGGGGATGTGGTGTTGAGGCGAGGAGTGGTGATTGAGGAGGTGGGGGATGGAAGGGAGGGATATGGGCGGCCGCGTCCAGCGAATGAGGTGTCGCCACCTCGTGCTCGTGAAGGAGTACCTGGCGGTTATCCACCAAGGTGTGTCCCAAGTGTGTGTGTGTGTGTGTTTTTTTTTCTGTCTCTGTAAATTTTATTCTTGTGTTACTGCAAATTATGATGGCAGCTCCTAGCAGAACTGGTTTGGTCAAGCCCCACTTGTGATTCACTCCAATTTCCACCTGGCCTACTTTCCCTGGCATCTCACTTCTCTTGTTTCCAGGAAGCTGAGGCATGCTCGTTTCGGAGACTGAAGAAGACTGTTTATCAGCATACATGGCCAAGATTGGCGTGAGCAATTTAAACAAGTCCAGTTTACATGAGATGCCAGTTGACATGCTGCACCATAACATGTTGACTGGCCCTTTCATGTCATGCTACTACTATTTGGCTAAATTCTTTCGCAATGGGCATTGTTGTTGTGATAGATCTGAAGTTGCAGATTACATTGGCAAGAAACTGAAGTAAATGAAAGCAAAAAAAGGAGGTGCACCTTTGAGTGGAGGTCCCCGAATTAGGGACAGATCTACAAGCAGGGGGTAGCCCTTGAAAACGGACAGCTAAAAGGAGTAAGGTAAAGAGTATCCTAACCAAGTCATGCCGCCATTCACAGAGAGATGCTGGGAGTACACTGCTCGTTGTACTTCTTAGCGGAAAACGGGTCCAGCTGCATCGTGCATTCCACATGCACCATAACGCGTGGCGACGAGATGCCCCAGTATTTCACGCGCGCTGCAGTGCCAACCACCACCCGCATTTCCGCGCGCCCATGCAGCAGCGGCGTCGTCAGCAGGCTCGCGGGACTCAGCGTCGCCAGGGGCGCATCGACAATATCGATGGGGACAGTCAACTCCGCGCTCCCACCCTTGCTCATGCCCACGACGCCAGGAATGGTCACATTTGTAACATTCATGTCGAAGAATTTTACGTCCACGCTGATGTTTTCCGCTTCCACGTCCCAGTTGTTGGGGTTATACACGAGCGCGGTGACGTTTATTAACGCGGATAGGCCCAGGCGGAAGTTTTCGAGGCCCAGGAACCCGCCGCCGGATTTTGTGATGCCGACGCGGAGGATGTTGATTTGCTTGACCTTCACCTCCGGCTGTTGCTTTGAGACTGTCAGGTATGCGACGAGCCCTGCGACGCCTAATCCGACGATAACGACGGTGAGGACGATAAGCGACCAGCATGTGATGCGGCAGCAGCAGGTCCGTTGACGACGCCTCTGGCGATCCTTCTCGTCCTTGCGAAGCTTCTCTGTTTCGTCTGCAGTGCTGGCTACTTTAGGATTGGCGATGTGCAAGTCGGAAGGGTAAACCGCGGTGAACTCTCCCGGGTTCTCCTCGTCGCCGCTGCCACTTGCGGAAACTGCGTTCCGCGCAAGCGGAGGCGCGCAGCAAAAAACGGGAAGCGACTTCTGAGGGGATGAGGAATCGGGAAGCGAAGCGTCTGGGACTGAGAAAGCGGAGTTTCCTGATTCAATGTCCCCGTCCGATGCGACCTGTTGTGTCGACTTCGAAATCCGTGAATCGCTGACGAGAGCCATATAGCCTGAAGGCGAGTGTGTTCGGGGATGGTAGACGAACGTGAGATGGTTGAGCGGAATTGCGTGGTCAAGTTGATGATTGGAGTTGCTTCGAATTGGTCTGTTAGGAATGGGCTTGCTCTTGCATATTTATCGTGCAAGTGAGGGGGAGAAGTGTCGAAGTTCCGTGGCCCCGCCCCACCTCCACATCACTTTCTGGCTAGCCCTTGAACCGAGTCGCGCCCAGGGTAATCGCGGTCCGCTGTGCACGACTTGGCGAATGAAATGACGGAACCGAAGCTTCTTCGTCGCTTGGTAATTGGGGATGCGGACGGAACAAACGAACAAGACGAACCAGCCAACACGGCTCGGTGAGCCTCCCTCCAGTAGCCCATATTTCCAACCAACCTAGCCTAGCCATTCAGGCTAGGAATGACTCATCACCAATCAAATCGGTACCAGCCAAAATGTGCTGGGTTTTTTACAACAAGAAACAATGCTACTTATGTGAGTGTGTAATTCCACTTCAATTATTGCACCCCAAAACCTCAAATTGAAGAGTAGTCCAGAACGGAAGATGAGGGTTGCAGTAAATCTTCAAAGATGGCTATCCGGGTTCCGTCGTCCCTTATCTAACTATTGTAGCTAGGACATGTGCAACAAGCTGGCCCGCAGCTTGATGATGCAACAAAACTGATCAAATATGGTCATAGCCCCAAGCTTTAGGGCCTCTAACACATTCTATGTGAGTTGCTTATACAGACTGTTACAGGTTCATCAAGCTGAGCCTCGCTAACAGGTGTCTCCTAACAACATGTAAAATATTACCAAGACACTACTGCAGAACATTCCAGGAGGCAAGCAGACTTCTCCCGTCCGCTGCAGCACCCACCCACGCTGCAGTAATGACCGGGCTGCAGGTGTTCAGATGCTGCCTGTCACGATTGAAAGTCACCTGTAACTAGCCGCATGGCTTCTCATCCATCTGTACGCATGCACCATATAAACAGCTGCTGACCCATATAGTCTCTGAGAACACACATGTAAACCGCCTTAGAATCTCTTCCCATCACCTCCCCCCCCTGTCCCCCCCCCCCCACACCCCACCCGCCCACCCCCCTTGGTAGCTAGTATCTATCCCGCGAGGATGGGATGTCACGTAGCAATGAGATCGGCAGCTTCGAGAACGCGCCCCCGCCGCCGCCCCTCTCGGTGTCACTCTCGCCTCTCGATGCCGGCTCAGGCACTGCCCTGCCACCGCTGCTGCTGCGCCGGCTGCCTGAGGACGACCGCTCGCGCTCGCCCCCGCCGCTGCTGCTGCGGCCGAACGCACTGCTGAAGCCACGCGTGAGGGGCGAGGTGCTCCTGGGAGATCTCTGACCGGCTAGTAGGAGGTGAATGGGATGCGAAGGAAGAAGAAGAGATAGAGGAAATAAGAACCTATGGCTAGGCTCATAGGCTTGATGTCACGCGTGCTGAACCTCCAATGCATGGCCTGTATCCAACACAATATCAATAAAGGACTGCTTGAGAAAATAAGAAGGGTCACAAGCAGAACGCACAGCTGACGCCATGGGTCCAGGGTGGAGTGCTTCTGGGGGATTCTGACCGGCTGGGGAGGGTAGAAAAAGGGGGTGGGAGAAAGGAGGGGACGGAGAGGAAGGAGGATTTGAGGGGGGAGAAGAGATGCAATGCTGGAGCCATGGGTGAGGGGGGAGGAGCTTCTGGAGTGGACGGGAGTTGAGGTTACAAGCATTGGTTGGCAAAGAGCGATAAAAGGACATGTCGGAATTGTGGGACATGTGGGAGACGTGGGATATGTGGGGCCAACCCTTGATGATGTAGCATGCATGGTGTATTGTGATAAGCCATGCATGGCACAGGGCATGTGGGATTGGGAAACGTGGGGGACACTTGGTAGATGTGGGTGACATGTGGGGCATGTGGGGCACGTGGGGCACGTGGGGCACGTGGGGCATGTGGGGCATGTGGGGCATGTGGGGCATGTGGGGCATGTGGGGCACGTGGGGCACATGGGGCACGTGGGGCACGTGGGGCACGTGGGGCACGTGGGGCACGTTGGGCACGTGGGGCACGTGGGGCACGTGGGGCACGTGGGGCACGTGGGGCACGAGGGGCATGTGGGGCACGTGGGGCATGTGGGGCATGTGGGGAAGGTGGGGCGTACCTGAGGGGCTGGAGCTGCGCGCAGTGGCACGAGAGAGCAGACCACCCCCCGACGATGACGTGCCTGTGGCGCCTGACTTGACCTGCGCCTGAGGAGCACACACACAGTGACATCACGCAAGCACATGCATCATGCACATGGACAAACGCATACACATGGAAAAGTTTGAGTCGACTCATACGTCACCCCTGATGAGGATGATGATGTGCCTGTGGCGCCTGATTTGACCTGCGCCTGAGGGGTGCAAGACACACAAACATCACGCACATGGACGAATGCATACGCATGTATTCTTTTTAATCGATGCAAACGTCATGTTCAGATGATCATGATGTCAACCTTTCCCTTCCATTCGTCACACAGACATCACACACGCCCATTGTCGGTAAAAGTCAACTTCTCCCTTGCACTACTCTCAGGATTAGACCTTCCTTGGACCTTTTCTTGAACCTTGGGCTGCACACTAGAACGGACACAGACAACCATGGGCCGTGTGGACAACCATGGGCCGTGGGCAGATAGTGACCCTGGTCAAATGTGGACGCACATTTGACCACGCGGGGGCGCACCTTGAGAGTGAAGTAGGCGTCGATCAGCTCGTGCAGCAGCGGCCGCGTAGCGCCGCCAGGTGTCATGATGGCATTGGACGACGGCAGGCCGAGCTCGTCCTCTAGCTTTGGTCGGCGCGGGTACACTGGCGGCTGGAGAAACGCAAGGGAGAAATAATCTTTGTTTAGTCGAATGGAACGAAAGAAACACCTTCAGCCAGACGGTTGTTTTCAACTCTGGACCAAGTGAATGCTTGGTCACACTAACAGGTACACTTGGAAGGTATGTACCCGGTTTCATCCTGAGAAGTTCTCGTCAATCGTACGTACCAGGTTACACTCCGAGAGGTACACTTTGAGGGTATGGTCCATCTCCCCCCACTCCAGATACTCGCACAGCAGCGCCGTCAGCAGATGACCTGCCACAATGTCACCATTATCCACGAAGAAACAACGTTACGGCTAAGAAAAGCATACATTGTTCACTCATGTCCTGAATCATGAACTACACAAACGGCGGTGGGTCAACTACAGTTGAATCATAAACACAGGGTCATCAGCAGCCCTGCTACCACAGAAGCTCGGAAGCTCGACCGTACACTTCAGAATGGCATTCACGTGCCGCTTCTCGTCAGCTCACTCGTCTTTGATTCGCGCATCTCCTTAATCTACTCTCGCACGTTTCGAGGCGCCTCAAAGCACGACCATTCTCCATCCGCTCACCCGTTTTGGAGTCGTGCAGGTTCTTCGCCTGCTCGCTGCAGCCGCCTCGAGACGACTGAATCTCCCTGGCCTGGTCGCTGCTTCCGCTTTTCACGTTTGTAGTCGTTTGAAAGCTCGACTACCTCCCATCCGCTCACCCGTTTTGGAGTCGTGCAGGTTCTTCGCCTGTTCGCTACAGCCGCCTCTCACGGCGCGTTGCTCGTCGCCGCTCGCCGTCTTGTCTTTGTCGTCTATCACCTCGAAGATGCTCGCTCGCAGCTCCGCCTGCCAGAAACAGCCACGACCCACGACCCACGAGCCTCGATAATGAGAGCCTCAGTCACAAGTTACAAGACACGAGACACGGTACAGGAGACTCGGTAATGCGAGCAACTCACGAATCATGAGCCACGAGCCTCGATAATACTTGCTTTAGTAAACGGATACAAGCCTCGGTTCCTCAACTAGTCCTGTGCCTTAAACGAAACCGATAACGTGGATTTTGAACCAGAAGTGACACGCCTGAAGCAACGACATTCCATCTCAGAATCGGACTTTGACGTTTCAAAAGTATCGTCTAGGATACTTTTCGGTCTTCTCATACCTTGAGTCGAGCCAGGACACCCTTCTTCTCTAAAGCCTTCGTCACGAGAGTTTTCAACTCTCCCATCTCCTTGTTATACTCGTCTAGCGGAGTCGGGTGATTCTGAAGCGTCGCCATCCCCTCGTGTATTCGACCTAGATTCGGAAGTTGAATGAGCTCCGTCAGGCCTAGCGAAATTCTTAGTGAAATCTAATCGTCCAGAATACGGGTACTTAGACTGCACTGAGATTGTAGACTCAGGATACGGTAATTGCGAGTGACGCCAGTGTAACTTGAAGACCTAATTTACGGACCCAGGCACACAATAGGCGAGGAATACTAAAACAAATAGCAGACAAAGTAACCTCCTTTTCTCGAGACTGCCGAAAGGACTAGGGAAGATGCGGAATGAGGAGGAGATAGTGAAGGTATCAAATCAAGTGGGAGTACCAGATGCTTTTGGGTGTGTTGAGTTTCAGCTCATCTACCACGGTTCTGCAGTTTTCGTTACGGTGCGAAACGGTAAAGTAGATGTACCGTTAAATACCGACCGAGAAACTTGCTGAACCGTAATGGACGATTAGCATACATCCAGATTTCTGTTCTCTGTTTGCTTCAGCTGACAACACCCAGCACATAGATGTGTGAGATGAGGTGAGGTGCTTGGCGTTGCTCATCCCCGACAGACACGGAGCGCAACAGTCTGAGGTGCCAACTGTCGATGAAGCGAAACAAACGAAATAAAACCAACTGCAAACTACGCTGGCGAACTCGAATGAGATCGCCAACCTGGCATGGGTGTCAGACTGTGTGCGGCCTTTTGGAACCGCGCAAATGAAGTTCCGCCCTTTCGGGTTAGTCCTCAGGGCGACGTCAGGTTGTACAAATTTTTGCACGCCCACTGCGGTTGACTTCGTTTCAACACTGTGAAGAACGGTAAATAGAAAGAACCGCTTTTCACCAGTTTCAATCGTTTTGAACCACGACACAAGAACTGTAAACCTGCGAGAAACGTACATCCTGATGTCGCCCTCAGTGATCCCGATACAGGGAGGGAATGCTTGGAGGGAAAGCCGTCTGACAAGTTGGAACCAAAATTCGTCGATGAAACTCCCAATACTGGATATGGCAAATGGCAGAAATAACATGTTTCGGCTGGTGTCTTTCATAATATTTAGATAATGAGCATAGCTCTACTTGCTGCTTCTAAAATATTTGGAACATTTTATATTTTATGTATCACTACAAAATGACGTCCGTCTAGGTTGTTAACATACATAAGCTACCAGCAACCTGTCAAAACGTAGGTTATAAACATAAACTACCAGGAACCTGTTAAAATGCGGCGTGAATAGACATGTACATACTATTGGCATGCGGTTTCATGTCCGCAGGAGGGGAATGATCAGGCGATGGCAAATCCAGCGGCGGGGGAATGGACAAAGGAGGCAGTCCCCTCTTCCGAGCCCACTGCTCCCGAATCAGCCTTGCAGCCTTACTCACAGGAGCACCCGTCTCCCTCAACTCCCCCAAACCCAGCAGCAAACCCCCCAAACTGCCTTCTGAATCCCCAATGCTCACACTCCCTTCATCCCGACCTCTCTTATTCGACCGCCCAGACATGCTAAACGAAGAGTTAGCGGATCGTACACGCGGTGAGGTGCAAACACTAGAAATACCCTCTGTTCCGAGGCTTGAGATGACGGCGGCTGCTTCTCGGGCCGCTGCTGACGCTGGGAAGAGGGGTAGCTCTGTGATTGCTGCTGCAGCATTGAGACAAGAGTCCGCATGAACCGGCAGTGGGAAATCATCAGCGAAATCTGCAGCGCGTTGGGCATCAGCTGGCGAGGAGTCCGGTGCGGCGGCAGGTCCAGCAGCCCATGTGAAGTTGCTTGCCGAAGCAGCCGCCGAGCCTGCCGCCGAGCCTGTCGCCGAGCTTGATCCAGGTCCGGAGGCGGGTGCCGAGGCTGAGAACGAAGCGGAGGCGTGGACAGGAGCGAGCGCGAGGGAGAGGGAGGATGGGGAGCGAGCGAAGCTTAAGGGGTGGGGAGGGTAGGTGGTGACTGGGAAAGGTGTTATTGGGGAAGATGCTACTGGAGCAGGCGCAGCTGCTGCCGGAGTTTTAGGAGCAATTGCACCCATACCAGCCACACCACCTGCGCTGCCCACATAAAACATATCTTCCATAACAGTAGTCTCGAACCCAGGGGTTGCAGCAGGCATTGCATCAGCAGCGGCAAAGGCAGGGTGTGAGGGAGGATGAGGGGCTGCGTGTGTGGCGGGGGGTTGCAGGTGAAGCGGCGAGGGAAGGGAGGGAGGGGGGAGAGTCGCATAGTCGGATAGAGGAGGAGGTGGTGGGGAAGAGATTATGGGAGGATAGTAGGGAGGCTGCTGCTGCTGCCATTGCTGCTGGTCCTGCTGCTGCAGCTCCTGCTGCCATTGCTGTTGGTACTGCGGTGGTGCCTGGCACTGCAGTTGCTCCTCCAGTGGAAGTGCTGATGTGGGAAGGGCTGCTGCTGACAGTGTTGCTGCTGGCTGCGCTGGTGTTTGCTCCCTTGATGCTGGCTCCCCATTGGACGGCTCCCACATGGCACACGCAATAGGATGGTCCAGTGAGAACCCGCCATCTGGCACGTGAACAGTACCTGGGGTGGCACTCGGTTCTCGAGACTGGGTGGTCCCTGTGAACAAGAAAGGCGGCTGGAAAGGCGGCTGGAAAGCCTGTTGCTGCTCTTCTCCCTCTCGCACGCCCTCCTCTTCCCCATGTTCCAGCTTTACCGGCGCCATCCGCGCAATCGCGACCCCGCGTTTCCCCCCATCCCCCCCCGCGCCGGGCCCCCCTTCCCCTTGTCCCCGGCCCGCCACCTCCCCCACATCTCGCCCAGGAAGCTTCGTCAGAAGCTCCTGCTTAAACTTCTCTACAGTCCCCTTAATCATCTCGGTACAGTCACCCCCGCTTACAGTCACATTCTGGTCGGAGGACAGAAGCTTTGTGACCATATCGAGCAGCGCCGTTGCTTCCGCTTCAACTGGTGACGTGGCATTGGCGGCCGGCGCGCGTTCAACGCCAAGTGTCACCGCCTCGTTTGAGGATGAAGTCAGCTTCGCACCGCGCGACGCGCAAACGTCCGCTCCGCTCCCCTTCAGAGCGCGCAATTCGGGGGAAGGGGCAAGCTCAGGTTCCTGGGGACTGCCCGCCTGTTCGTACGCTTCCGCCTGTCCTCGACCCCGCGCCAACGTTGAGCCTGCCCCTTGCGCCGCCGATTCCTCCCCCCGCTCCCCCTTCTTCGCGCCTTGGCGTCGCTCCCGCTTCTCCGCGCCTGCACCCGCAGCCTTTGCGCCGTCCGCCCTGCGCCCGCCTTGGAGCGCCCAGAGCTCTGCCATGATCGCGGGGAACGTCGCCTCCCCTTCGAACAGCGCAACAACCGGAGATTCTCCGCCTTTTGCGCTACCGGCGCCGCTGGAAGGGAGACCGGCGTAGAAAATTGACGGCGCTGGCAATTCCGCAGCAGAAAACGGCGCATCAGCCGGCCGAATTGAAACAGCCGTTACTCTCGGCGACTGCGCGCCGAGCGCGGAATTCTTTTTCGCCGCGCCGCCAGCGGAGCGTCTTTGCGCGGGAGGCGGGCGCGGGCTCGCGGGTACCTTCGACTGACAGCGCTGCTCGTTTTGCGGCTTCGCGGGTTTCTCGCCGGGTTTTGCCGGTCGCGGCGACGGTTCAGCGCTGCCAGCCGACGAAAACCGTTTCTCTGACGGATTCCGACGACTCTCGTTAACCGCAGCGAGATCTGCTCCCGGCCCGAAGAGAGCAGTCAGCAGCGCGTTCGCCTCCTCAAGTGCGCGCATCTCCTGCGCCGACGGCGCGGGCATGGCGGAACCTCCGCCCTGCGCCGCCGCCTTTCCGCGCGCGGGAAGCGCGCCGGCGTGAGCGCCGCCGCGGGGAATCGGGGGAGTATTCGGGGAAGCGGGCGGAGAGTGCTTGGCAGAAGGCAGAAAATCGTGCCCCTTGGCAGGAGCGGTTTTCGCCCCAAGCGCGTGCGGAAGCTGCGCGGGTGATGCGGAAGCCGCGGAAGCGGCGCAGCCTGAAGGGCTGGTGAGGTGGAAAGCGGTCCCCGGCCATTTACGCTCGGTCTTTGGGGACGCCGCTTCAAAAGGCGGCCACTGTTCCGTCTTGACCTGCGCTGCTTTGCGCAAGGCGTCCGCCCATCCTCCGCCCAACGCGGCCATACTGGTTCGGTAACAGTAACAATGGTAAGTAATACAAAAAGATTCTTCGAAAGCCTACAAAGTGTGAAACTAAGCTACTGGTAGCAGTCACGTGCGCGAAGAAACTTAGGATCCAAAGAGCATATGGTCTGACTGTTTCGGAAACACGCCGTATCGGTGCCGACTGTTCCGGCGTTTCGCCTTTGAGTGCATATAGCAGGAGATAACCAGTCAGTGGAAAGCTTGGGACTGCACGTCTGCCGCAACTGCCGCTGCTCCATCTGTCTCCTGATCTTTTATGTGTCTTGGAGGTCGGCAAACAGGCAACTGTTCCGCCTCAAGCGATGAGGGAACTGTGCGTGTGAGGAGGGACCGTGGTTCTGGCAGGGCAGGCAGTAGTGGCGCAGATGAATTACGCGCGGGGAAATGAGCGGTGCGGAACCCAAACCGACGCGGAAAAAGATGGGGGAAAGTGATGAGAAATCAGGCCCAGCCGAATGTTGAGCAGGCGGGGAGCGGAGGTGGTGTTTGGCAGGCTTGGCGGAGTGAAGAGCTACCCGTTCCTCTTGAATGTGATGTTTTAGCTAAGGGCGAAAGACATTTGTACTGTGTACACTGAAATTACACAGCAACCCGTGCTTAGTGGGAGACGAAGCACTGAAAGTGTGGACTCGCTACTTTTCCCAACCAAGCTGGTATTGATGGTGTGAATGAGCGAGGTTTGAAGGTAAACCTATCCATGAAAATGAAAATGAAAAACGTTGACTTCAGCTTCCATCTGCCCCAAATCGAAAGAGTCAGCAAACCAGGGATGCGATGCGTTGCCTGTCATACCTAGGTGATAGGAAACGGGCTAGCCGCCGCATGTATCGGCCCTTCAAGATTCACCTGACAACACAGCAACAGACCCCTGAGGCAAAGACACCCAACATAAACCTGGCACCTGAATCTGCGCTACATGAAATCATGATTGTCCAAATGTAACACCAAGCACAGAAAAAACATTCATAATATTATACATACATTAAAAGGTTGTTCTTATCAAAAGTTGCCCATACAGGAGAAATAACTGCAATCCACAACATTGCAGCACGTTACAATCATAGCTGGCTATCATAAACCACAGGATTGAGTGGAAGTATGTAAGAAGCGACAATTTTGTCAACATACACATATGCATTTGCATACATATTACTAAGGCTTGGTTGGGTTGCACTATACAGGATACATGTTTGTTAAAGATACCCCCTTTGTATGCCCTCTGTGAAACAAGACTAGAGAACGGTAGGCTTAGGAGCCATGGTAAGTTGGGAGGAGAGATCGAGTTCGAGTAAGTTTAGGAAAGTCGAGAAGTTTGAACAAAAGGAGAATTTCACTATAGAGCGAGGAGTACAAATAGGCAAGAAAAAAGGTGCACCACCAAACAGAACATTATATAGCTACAGTAGTCTACACTACAGGCAGTTACAAAAACAATATATAGAAATATATATATTATTCTTGACACGCCCCCATAAGTGCCTGTAGGGAAGAATATGCAGTCAACGCCCCCGTAATGGGGTACACCAGTCAGGCCGCAGCAGAAATCATAGCAACAGGCAAGTGCAGTGGCAACCAGTGCAGTGATGGCAGATCCAGCTGTTCCAACCCCTTTACCAAGGTAAAACAAAAAGTAGCAGGTGTTGGGGCGGCAAGGCGCCTGAGGAGCAGGCTCTGTGGCTGCAACATGCAACAGGACAGCAGCGGCTCGACGGCAGCACCTGCAGGCCCCAGCAGTAGGTAGCAGAAACAAAAGGTAAGGTAGGTGGTAGCAGGGGCGGCAGCTGGAGGTGCCATGGCAGCAGCGGGCGTCAGCAGCAGATGACCGGCTGACTTCCGTCGCCCCCTCACTCCCCCCCCCACAGCGGCACGTGCGGCAGTGAGAGAGAGAGGAGGGGCGGCAGCTTCTTGCTCACACCCGCCACCCCAAAACCTCCCCCCCACACTGTTGCACGGGCAGCAGGGAGAGAGTAGGGACGGCGCGTGGCGGCGCAGCGGTGTAGCGCAGCAGCGAACAGAGCGGCGTCAACCACCCTCGCGCCTCCCCCTCCCCCCCCCCCCCCCCCCCCCCCCCACACCGTCGTCCACAGCGGAAGTCATGGTAGTGGGCGTGGTTGGCGTTGGCGAGATCGCGAGTAAGGGGGGGGAGTAATGGGGGGGTACAACAGGTGCCGCGACGAGCGCCTTCGCACAGCTCGCCGTCGCTTGCGGGGCAGGGGGCGCATTTGGCGACTGAAGCAGCTCGGCCGCCACACCCGCCGTCTCCCCCCAAAGCGACCGTCGATGCAGACGCTCGGGGCCGCGACAGGGCGTGACGAGGCTGCAGTAGGGCGCGATGGGCAGGCGACTGGTCCGACGACTGGGGCCGTGAAAAATAAACAGCGCCAAGTGCGCCACGCTCAACTTCGCAACATTCGCGACGAGCGGTTGAACGGGCATAGCTGGGGCCGCGACGAGTGCCATGGCAGGAGCGTGATGCGGTGGGCCCATGGGAAAAAAAAAATAGGTTCTAGGATAGGAACCACTGTGATAACATGTGAAACAAGAGTAGAGAACGGTAGGCTTAGGAGCCATGGTAAGTTGGGAGGAGAGATCGAGTTCGAGTAAGTTTAGGAAAGTCGAGAAGTTTGAACAAAAAGAGAATTTCACTATAGAGCGAGGAGTACAAATAGGCAAGAAGAAAGGTGCACCACCAAACAGAACATTATATAACTACAGTAGTCTACACTACAGGCAGTTACAAAAACAATATATAGAAATATATATATTATTCTTGACACCCTCATTCCTCAATCATTATGTTTTTTCACATTGTTTTAAAAGATGGTAGGTTTCTCAGTTCCGCACCACCTATATCTCTAGCTAGCCTAATGCATTCACAAACCCAATCTAGCATCCAACCCCTCGAGCGCACTCTAGCGCCCTATAGTGCCCCCCCATGAGCGCCATCTAGTGCCCCCCTCTAGCGCCCTCTAGTGCCCCCCCTCTAGCGCCCTCTAGTGGCCTCCTCTAGCAGGCCCTCTAACGACCCCCTCTTAGCGCCCCGCCGTGCCCCCTGCGCCTCGTCGAGCCCTAGACTGCGCCTGCCGTGTGCCCATAGTCGTCCGCTGCCTCCCGCGCCTGCGACCGCAGCTACCGCGATCGCAAAAGCCACCGCCGCGCCAGCCATGCTCACTCTTGCTTTGCTCAGGCCTGCTGCCTGCCACAGGCCACCTGCCCGATTGCTACGTACATTGATGTGCCCTGCTGCAGCATTTGCTTCGCGTCCCACCACGCGTCCTGGCGCGCTCACAGCCACGGATTCAGCTCTACATGACTGCCTCTAACTATCTTCTCCTCCGCCTATAGTTGTACCCTCTTATCCAATGTAGTTGTGCCCCAGCTCATTCCTATTATGACGTCCGGGTTTGTACCGCGGCTCGGTGCGGAAGGGCGGGCGTTCTACTTTGGGACGTATGGCCTGTCGATGTACAGCTCCACCTGCAGAGCCAGGGTCAGGATGGCATGTACCTGCACACCCACATATCGGGTGAGCTACGTCCTACTGCTCTTGCTACCGAGGCCACGCCAGTGCGGGATACTCATCGCGTGGCCCAGCTTGCGTACCCAGTACGGGTGTTGCGTGATGCTATTGAGCACCTTGCTCTTAGTCGCCTCCTACTGTTGGACGGGCGAGTGCACTTTTGACATGGTGCGATTGTGTGCATGATATTGTTGCTCGCTACTCCAACCCCTCCTTTGCTACTCGGAAACGCCTCCTCACACTGTTTCTCCTCTTTGATCTCCCTTATTTCCCCACTATCGCTGACATCAACTGCATTCGCTTAAAGCTGGATTCGCGCTGCTTGCACTAGACCACCTTCCTATGCACGCACCCCCTATGCATCTCAACCTGCACTTCCTCGCAACCGTCTCCCTGGCCTCCCTGCACGTGCTCACGATGTCATGCACCGCATAAACCTCACTATCGATATTTTTGCTACTCGACTCACCCGGTATCCACTCTATGCTCATTCATTTTTGTTCTCCCGCTACCTCCTTTGTCTCCTCTCTTTCTTCTCCTTATTCTCCTGATATCCTCCGTGCCGCTCGCCCTACCGTCTCTAGAGTCATTTCTTTTCACATTACTGGCCCAAGTGCTCCTTCTCAGTTTGTCTCTGCTGTTGGCAATGTTGTTGCTGAATTTGTCCCCACATGTCGCTTTGACCATGCCACTCAGTTGGTCTCTGCTCCTGCCTGTCTGTCTATGCCGTTTGTCAGTGGTGCTCCTGCCTTTAGCAGTGACATCTTAGAGGACCAGTGGTTCGAGCTGGCTTTCCTTGCGGTCACTTCTCCTCAACTCTATGCCATCTTGCTAGGGTGACCCAAACGCTCTTGACATCAGACCCCTCGCACCCATGCTGAGGCAGCCTCAGGACCCTGTGCCTCTCAGTAGATGGCAACCATGGACGCAAATGTGACATATTGGAGGTCCAAACGCATCTATGTCGACATAGTTCCCTCTCCTGGGGAGCACGTTGTCGATGGTATGGAAATCTTCAAGGTGAAGCGGTCACCTAAAACGATGCTTGCCTTCAAGGCTTTAAACAGCGTGTGGGGATAGACTTCTTTCGGTCCTTCTTCCCTACCCCGAACACGACCATTCTTCGGATATTGCAGAATATTACGGCGCAACGCAATTACAAGCTTCACCCATTTGACTTATCGACTCCCTTTCTCCAGGGCAGTCTGCACGAGCAGATTTTCCTCTACCGGCCACCTGGATTCACAAGGTCATTTCCTCTTAGGACCCAGTGGAGTCTTTGACGACCTGTTTACGATCCGCGTCAAACACTTCATGAGTGGCATGGTAGATTGTATATTACTCTTGCTAATCTCCACCTTTTACCGTCCTCTGCTGCCCTTTTTTCGTTCGCTCGGGCTCGACTTCTATCTACATTATTTTCTACGTCAACAAGCTGGCCTTCGCTACTCCAGACAGA